AAGACCCCAGATGCTATATCTTTTGATAGCTGGGCACCACCAGCTTTCTTCACCTCATTTGCTTATGCACCCGCCCTGTCTTCAGCGAATGTGCCATGAAGGTGAGCCTCATAGAATGCCAGTTTAATAGAACCAAGTATTCTTGCATTGAGGGAGTACCCGAGTGGAGGCCCAATGTCCATCTCATGCTTTATTCTTGTACACATTAGAGTATCTTGCTGATGAGAATGTATGTGATGTTGTAGGACTCAATGGTCATTGAAGATGTGGCTGTGGTCTTCAGCCAGGAGGAGTGGGCTTTGCTGGATCTTGCTCAGAGAAAACTCTATAAAGATGTGATGATGGAAACCTTCAGAAATCTAACCTCTATAGGTAAGAATGACATTTTTTTTCTCGTTTTTTATAATGTGTTTAGTGAACAAAGATATTTTACACGTCAGCTTTGCTCCAGTTCGTGGACTGAGAATGGGAATGAATTGTTAAGCATAACAGGCTTGGTTCCTGGTCTATGGAACTGATATAATCTGGCTTCCCTCTGAATGTAAATCTCCATGTAGTGAAATCAGTTTGTACTTCTTCTGTAACTAAAAGTCCTGAGTTTATTAAGTGTTCTTTAAGTGTAAGCATTGCCTTTACAGTTCACTTTTTAACCAATACCAAAGTGCTGAGACAACTAAACATAGCTAAATCTGTCTTTGTTCACGAAAATTTTTTCTGATTTTTTTTTTAATTTATGTTGTGAACGCCGCTTGGATTATTGAGTTAGCCTCTTTAAACCATGATGATGGAGAAAATGTATCCAGTGAACATACAGTGGTGCAATTCATGAAGAATAACACCTGGTCCTCCATGTTCCCAGAAGTCTCCAAATCTCATGCCAATAAGGATCAGCACACAAAAAATGAGAAGCGACATTTGAGGTGAGTGTTGTTCATACAAGAGTACCTAAGAGATAGTACTAAGCTGTCTTGACATTGCATGCTTATATAGTATGTTTACATACAGATGAATGTATACATATGTGTCCCCCTCTTGTCAGTAGTCTGTCTGACTGTATTGGCTTGTGTGTTGCTATGATGCTGGCAGCTATGTCTCTGGTATTCAAATGCCAGTGGTGTCAATCAAAGTGAAAAGATTTCTGCAGAGCTTCCAGACTAAGAACGGACTATGAATAAGTAATCGGCTGTCCACTTCAGAGAAATCTTGTGGGTAGCATCAAAACATTATCAGAGACTTAAAACCTCACGGATTAGAGCTAACGGCAGAAGATGGGTCTCTCAGGTCAAAAGGCACTCAAAATATGAGTGAGGTAGAGTTTCCTTTTCAAAGTAAAGCTGACATAATGGCATAGATGGAGTCAAGCCTTCAGGACCTTCATTTGCTGATGAGGCATGACTCAAATGAAAAAAGAAATAGCTACAAAGAAACATCATTAATAATCAGAATTTGGAATGTACAAAGTATGCATCTAGGAAAATTGGAAGTTGTAAAAAATGAAATGGAACACAAAATTATCAATATTCTAGTCATTAATGAACTAAAATGAGCTGACTGGCATTGGACATAATGAATCAGAAAATCTTGTGATTTACTATCCTGGGAATTAGAGATTCAAGAGGAATGGCATCCCACTTATCATAAAGGACACTTCAAGATCTATTTTTAAGTACAATTCTGTCTATGATAGGATAATATCTATCACATCAAAGATAGCCGATCAATACAACTATTACTCAAATTTATGCACCAAACACTAAAGCTAATAATGCAGAAATTGAAGTATTCTAGCGGCATCTTAAGTCTGAAATTGATCAAACATGGAATCAAGATGCACTGATAATGATTACTGATTAGAATGCACAAGTTGGAAATAAAGAGTAAAGAACAGTAGTTAGAAAATATGGAGATCCCCTTGCAGAGGGCTCTCAGGGAGGAGACGAGCCGGCAGGGTGCGATGTAGCAACGATGAAAAATACAACTTTCCTCTAGTTCCTAAATGCGTCTTCCTTCCCCTCGCCCCACCCCCCATCATGATCCAAATTCTACCTTGCAAGTCTGGCTAGACCAGAGGGTGTACACTGGTACAGATAGGAACTGGAAACACAGGGAATCCAGGACGGATGATCCCTTTAGGACCAGTGGTGATACTGGGAGCGTAGAGGGAGAGTGGGTTGAAAAGGGGGGACCGATTACAAGGATCTACATGTGACCTCCTCCCTGGGGGATGGACAACAGAAAAGTGGGTGAAGGGAGACATCAGACAGGGCAAGATATG